GTGGTGAATAAGTAGACTGGATTATGTAAACTGGATTCAAAAATAAACGGTATGACTGTTTAATGCTTCATGCTTATTTGTGCACATGAGTTTTTTGCGCACTACTGTGTACTGATCGAAATATAAGCAACAAATTACTTGATCAAGTAGTGGGAAGCTGTAAGCTATGGAGCATTTCTTTTAAACTGCGATTTGTCAATTGTTACCGAGTGTTTTGTAAAATGAAGAAGACAGATTTAGAAGATACTTCATCAGGTTCCATACATTCCAGTTTTACATCATTTCCCTTATCCTAGTAAACATTTTCATTTGGCTTCTGATATGAACATCAGACTATATATAAACAAAAACTCTGTGATGTGATGAGAGGATAAGCGTTCAGTACCCCAATGAAATACGCATTCGTTGAACCAAGCTTCTGAATAATTTCCATCTTTTTTGAGAAGACATGACAACCGCTATGTTGTACTGGAATTTGTTTTCAAGAAATAATCAGATAAACCAAGATTAGAATCTCTCATTGCTTTCTTGTAACACTGCTTTCGGTTAAGTAATCACTCTCCATTCACTAATAAACCCGGATAATTCTTCGTACATAACTTCTCCTTATAGATTTGAAAAGAAAAGAAACAAACATTAGAGGGGAATGACATGGATCCACTTTATTTCGTGATTTTGTTCATGTGCGTAGTGTCTGCAGCATTTAATATGAACAGGTTGTAGTACGATTGTAACACACGTTTGTCCGCGAACAGCATTCGGAACTCGACTAATAAGTATTGCAATAACATCATAGTCAAATAAAATATGAGGATATCAAGTTAACTTAAAATACTGTAATATATATATATATCTGCTGTGAACGAAATTTCTCTCTAAAATGTTGTTGTTAACGACACTGAAATCAGTGTATCTATTAGACAATTTGATAAGTGAGTGACAATCGTATAACAATGCATAATAAAATACAATAAGTTGAATTGAGAAATTCGGAAGACAAAAGCTAACATTTTGCATGTTAAAAGTCATATTGAAAGGTGATAATATAATTTATAATAAGCGACAATGAGTAAAACTTGGGAGATGGAAAGCGGGGAAACAGAATGATGCAAACGAAATCACTAAAGTGGTAGGTTATGGTATCACTACAGTCCAAGAATGGATCCTATTTAGACTCAAAAGTCAGTTTTCAGTTAATTTATTGCTATACCTTCAGAAAAGAGGAGAATATAAGGGATGCTTTGTCTGTCAGTTGTTCTGAAAGCTCCCAACAGGTCTACTCGATGATTTATTTCTGTCAGGGTTTTGGAGACTTATGAAATAAAATTATTCGACTCCTTTAGTCATAGGTTGTTTAGAATACGTTTAGAGAATCTTATGTAAGCTCTGTCTTTAATTCTTCCTCTCCCGCTGATAACTTATCATCTTCGTGTTATATGTGACGGTGATGCTTTCTTAATATTTATTGATGCGGTGTTGATTCCTAATGACAGACAAAAGTATGTCATAATTGTATTATAACGCGTGTCAAATGTCACGGGTTGTATTACGCTAACCAATATCACGAAATACTACGGTTCTATGCTATTCTCTTTTTCCTCACTTAGCTCTCTTCCCTCGTAGAATTTCTAATCTTACAGAACGTCTTGGTAAATATATCTGCTTTGGTTCATCAGCAACTTTTCCAGCTTCTCGGCATTATTGTAGATATGAAATAATTTCAGATTTTCCTTGTTTATTACGAGTACTTTCATTCCGGTAGAGTTTTTTTTACATAGTTAGAGTTTATGTCACTGGCTATAAAAGTTTTATGAAAACTAATACTAGTATTTTTTTCAGGTCGTTTTTATACGAAGTACGACTGGCAACATTAGATTCAGGATTTTCTTTAGAATCAGGCACATCATAATTTCAATCTCTCTTGTTTAACATCTATGTGATGGCTTTTACAAGACATTTAAACTAAGATAACCGGATTTGAGAACTACTCGGAAGTTTTGTGGTTGTATTTCTGTGAACAGAGGCCGAGTGACTTTTCAAGAATCGTAAGATTTGATAGTGTGAAATATTCGCATATTATAAATTAAAAGTCAATTTGAACGAAGAATATTCTTTTCAATAATTTCTCTTCAGGTTCTTACAATTATAAAATATGATATTTGTGGTCGTTACAATAAAGGCCAGTTATGCGGCGGCGGATACATTTTTAACGCAGAATAACAGATTAGTTATGGGATGTCAAACGTGCTAGGCTGAAATCGACTACAAAATATTGTACAACGGGAGACAATGATGGTGATTAATAATAATAGATCTGTAGAGTGTGGGGTAGGAAACTTGACAAGTCAGTTCAAGGTTATAAAAGGTGTCAGGTGAGTGGCTAGTACAGAGTGGTCTGTGTTAAACAGGAGATAGTAAGACTGCAATGAGAGGTGGAGGCATATATTTGAGAAAAGAGATAATATCACTAATAATAAGTCCGGATAGTATAAATGAAAAATTCGATAGTATTGAGCGAATGTTTGCATGAAGGGCATAAATTGTAACTAATAATAATAATTGTAGTAATAATATTTGTAATAATAGGCGAAGGAAAAAAACCAAAAGTGTTAATGAGAAGAAGCACTCTTGGTGGCCAAACTTGGATTAACGATTCTTTTTCTCACGAAGTGTGCTCCTTCCCCTTAACTGTCTTGGTTATTTTCCTTCGCTTATTATTACTCATCTCGATTTCTGACCAAAAAGTTGTGTCTTTATTTTCCCGAGATTAAGATGGAGCCTATGTGATGTCGTAGCGTGCCTATCTAGTAAAGCCAAAGTCACCCTATATATCCTTTTGCTTCTAGACGATACCTCAAATCACCAAATCATCAAAGACTATACTAGCCACTTAACTGACACCTTTTATAACCTTGAACTGGCTTGTCAATTTGCCTACCCCACACTCTACAAATCTATTATGATTAATCACCACCATTGTCTCCCGTTGTACGATATTTGTAATCGATTTCAGCCTAGCACGTTTGTCACGCAAATACGAATATTTATTTTGACACCCCATAACTAATCTGTTATTCTGCGTTAAAAATGTATCCGCCGCCGCATAACTGGCCTTTATTGTTACGACCACAAATATCATATTTTATAATTGTAAGAACCTGAAGAGAAATTATTACTGAAAAGAATATTCTTTGATAGAGCTATTAGCATTAAGTAGCGAAACTTCAGTAAAAACAATATCGTTTTTTTTTTCATTCATTGGGAAATACAAAAACCTTTATTATAATGAAGAATATTCTTTGTTCAGATTGACTTTTCGAGAATCCATTTGTAGAAACGGTTTTGGTTACTTTATTTTCCGTATTTCGCAGCAACATTAACTGAACTTACGAATTAGCAGATTCAGACTTCGACGAATATTAACATATGTTCAGATCATAATCTACTACCTTATTTTGAATAAAGCGACTGTCATAGTATTCACTGCTTCCTACAGAAGTGCTCGACTTTGTAGAAGGTACTTTAATTCCATTTGGAATTATTTGTCCATTCAGGAAAACAGGTGTACTCTTTGCTTTTGTACCTACTTTCATCTCTTCTGAACTTGAGTGTCTTATAAGATTTGTGAAATAACCCCTGCGAGTCAGCAGGGATATCAACATACCTTCCTATGACCACCTACGCTTGACGAAGAGATTCTGCTCGTTGATTCCAAATGTATGTCTAGCCAGTCATTAAAATCACATTTGAAGGCTTATGTGTGCAGTGGAAATATGAATTCTCTTATAGACATATAAGAATTTCTGATAAGAGCACAAACATTTGGTCTTTCGATTGCAACGGAATTTCTGGGTATAAAATGCTTACCAAAAAGAATCCTTACGTCAACGTGGGATTGCGTTCCGACTTGTACCAAAAATACGGTGTGGAATCAAGCTGTAATCAAAAAAAAAAAGCTTAGGATATGATAAAGTCCTCAGAAAAGAATAACGTCCCCTTCCAACAGAAGAAGGTAAGAAGTTTTTCTGATTGCTATCATTAATTTTCTTGTGGAATACTCCACAATTAATACCGTTTTAAATGTTCTTCAGCTTCCGACTACGTGCATCTCATATAAAATCTTTCGAATAAATTATCCATTTTTCATTTGAATAAGTAGTCGCTTTCTCTGTCCTGTTCGTGATACGAAGTGTTTTGTTTTGTAATTGGATTAAGAAGTAATTTCTACACTAAGTGTTAAGCATAACTTGTGTACAGGATGCCGCAAAAACAAGAAGAACTGTAGTAGTTATGGTGTATGTTGTCTTACAAACTTAGGCATACAGAATTGACAAAGGTGATTGTCAGCTTGGTGGTGACAACGAATACAACTAGAAGAATGAATGAATGACACTATCACATGCAGTTTTATACTAAATTAAACAAGCCTACATAAGTCATTGTTTGATGAACAGATTGAATATGAAAATGTCCTTCTATTTACAGATCTCTGAAGTTTTGCATCTGAACAACTAAGCAAATATCAACAGTTGAGGTAAATTATGGCGAAAATGATTACATTATGGATTTGTGCACTTTTGTAGCTCCACAGAAGGACTGAATTTGCCTGATGTCGCCCAGACATATTGTATTCATTCTGCAGTAAGTAATGAACACTGACTCAGTCATCCTGTGTTCAACACCTGATAGAAGAATCCATATTTTAGCACTCAGTAGAAGCTTGCAGTCACAATTTGTTTATCTTTACTACACCATAGACAAGAAGCACACAGCACGCGATTCACATAACTTCTCTTGTTTACATGATTGAGATTTGTATTGCGTGTTTCTCAATATCATGCTTCATAGACTATTTTGTTTTGCATAAAGTTGAGCACTACTTGAAAAAATAGTACATAGTACAATGTAGATTGATGGTTGTTCAACTAAATAATGAACGAAGTTCATTTGATTGAGTAGAAAGTGGTGTGACCATAGTGCAGCATTTGTTTACTCACAAATTATTTCTATGTGTAGGAATAACCAATAAGAACACAATAAAATGAAGCACTACTCAGTTTTATGATATAACAAAAGATAAACAGTTGAGTTGATTTAAAATCTCTGTCACTATTTATGCATTTCAAAAAATATTGAATGGCATTTCTACACATTCACAGGTAAATATAGATGAATCTAACAGACAAACATCTTCATCTTCAAATTTTTTTCATCGACAGTCTGCTCAACTTTTTCAACTAGAATAAATGAGTAGTTGCCGTGTTCTTGAAATCCCCTACAACACTGACATATCAAAGTGGAGATATTCTGATAATTTTCGACTATTGACGTTTATGAGAAGACTGATAACATATTCTCGTATCATTTTTATATTGAATGTAAGTTATTTAGTGTGTGTGTGTGTGCGTGCATGTTTGTCTATATATTCATTGTCTAGCCTGATACTTTTCATGTTGCATACATTTCTGTAGAACACAGTAATTCACTATCACTCTGCTACTGAAGGGATTTAAGTAGCCTGTAATGTCGTGGTAGACATTCATGCATCTTAAAATATCACCGGTTTATATACATGGTAAGCAAAGACATGCGATTACACTGTGAGTGGTGCAGATGATATCAAGGATTGCAAGAGCATTTCCTTTACACCATAGATATTGGTCAAGTAATTTTTGAAGAGGTGGACTAACTTATGCAGATCACACATTTAATGCTTTTGATGAATATTTTGAATGTGTAGTCAAGAGCAATTTATAACTGTGTCTGTAGTAATATTCAAGCTTCAACTAAATACTAGGCCTTCCACTGCTATTTTTAGATCTGTCTGTGCTATGCGTAATCTTGATCACCAGTGATTTCTATTTAGTGACATGAACTATTTGAAAGTAACTGCCAACCAATCCCCTCTATGACTGATATTTGTCTAGGCCTTAGAATTAATTAAAACCAGTAACTTGACCCACAAACATTCGATTTTTAGGAGTAAAGTTCAGATGTAATGTGACAAATATTGCTTGCATGATGATTATTTCACGTCAATGAATGTCTTCCTATTCATCGTTCATTCCACTTCGACATGAATCGGGTTGTGTATTTTTAAAGAAGATAATTTAGCATCCTCTTACCTGTTAAATTCCCAAGATAGCATTTCCTGTGATGATATCTTTACTCAGATGATGGGCTGGACAATAGAGAAAAACGTCAACAGGAAAGATACATGCAGTGGACGGTTTAATACCTATATAGTTCAATCGAAATCTAATTCGTTTTGTTATTCATACTTATGATTTTATCGAAGGTGAAATATAAATTCTGAATAGTCAAAGCAAAACAATAAGCCAGCTGAATTGCTTTCGTTTAGATCTTCCTCAAGCTCATATATATATATATATATATATATATATATATATATATATATATATATATATATATATATATATATATATATATATAATGCTAACGCATGATAGTGAACTTGCCTATAAAGCAAAGGTGTTTAGTAATTGATAGTGTTCTCTGAGCTGGTTGGTTGAGTTGTGGAGCTTTCGTCGTCTTTCTGGACGACATCTACAGCGCACTATTTAGGATAAAGTGAAATGACTTAAATTTCTTCATGAGCGTCTACCAGTAACCATCTTTAGATGCGTATTGACCGTTTCCTATTGACTTAAATTTTAAATTTTCCGGTCACCTGATTTACTTTTTATTAGTTGGTATATTTCGTCTATATTAACGTGTTTGTTAATTGCATTTTCGTTTGAGTACCAGGCTTCTAGGAATTTCTCGGCACTTTTGGTGTTTCCTCTGTCTAGAATTTCGACATTATCCCAATCAAATTGATGTCTGTAATTGTCTGTATGCATTGATACTAAAGAATTTACATCGTATCTTTTCACGGCTGATTTGTGATCTTGGATTCTTATTCGAAGGGGCCGCCCACTTTGGCCGATGTAATGTCTGTTACAGTTCATACAATTTATTTTGTAAATGGTGTTAATTTTATCCCTTTTTTCTGTTGGATCTTTTGGTTTGCATAAGATCGAATTAAGCGATTCGACTGGTTTGTGTACTACATCTATGTCAAACGGTTTCATTATTCTAGCTGTTATTTTAGAGATATTTCTCATGTATGGTATTTTTCTCCGTATGGCACACAGTATTTTGCTACGTAGCTGCTATAACAATCGTTTTATTACTATTATGTAATGTGTATTTTTATTTTTTTTGTCGTTTTTGAGTAAATTAGATGCAATATTGTACTGAAATGCTGAAAATTCCCTGCTGTATCATGAGTACTGTTTTTGGAATAAAACTATTATTATTATTATTATTATTATTAATTTTTTTTGTCCTTGATGATGGTTCTTTGTTGGTGTCTTGATTTGACTTTAAACACTTTTTGATGAAATTTTGTGGATAACCATTCCTCTTGAAGACCATTTGGAAGTATTTTTCTTTCATTCTTTTCAACTCTGGTGTGCTGCAATGTGTTTGAACTCTTCTAAACAATGTCTGCACACAGTTTCTTTTGTTAGTAGTTGCATTATTGCTATAGAGTTGAGTATTTGATCGGTGTTAGTTCTGTTCAAGTTGAACGTTCCGTTTTTATGTTTTCACCATCAACAAAATCCCATATTTAGATGTCTTAATCAGGAGAACCAACACAGAAAATTTAGAAACACGAGTATATAGAAAATCAACGCATACCGATCAAATACTCAACTCTACTAGCAATAATGCAACTACTAACAAAAGAAACTGTGTGCAGACATTGTTTAGAAGAGTTCAAACACATTGCAGCACACCAGAGTTGAAAAGAATGAAAGAAAAATACTTCCAAATGGTCTTCAAGAGGAATGGTTATCCACAAAATTTCATCAAAAAGTGTTTAAAGTCAAATCAAGACACCAACAAAGAACCATCATCAAGGACAAAAAAATTAATAATAATAATAATAATAATAGTTTTATTCCAAAAACAGTACTCATGATACAGCAGGGAATTTTCAGCATTTCAGTACAATATTGCATCTAATTTACTCAAAAACGACAAAAAAAATAAAAATACACATTACATAATAGTAATAAAACGATTGTTATAGCAGCTACGTAGCAAAATACTGTGTGCCATACGGAGAAAAATACCATACATGAGAAATATCTCTAAAATAACAGCTAGAATAATGAAACCGTTTGACATAGATGTAGTACACAAACCAGTCGAATCGCTTAATTCGATCTTATGCAAACCAAAAGATCCAACAGAAAAAAGGGATAAAATTAACACCATTTACAAAATAAATTGTATGAACTGTAACAGACATTACATCGGCCAAAGTGGGCGGCCCCTTCGAATAAGAATCCAAGATCACAAATCAGCCGTGAAAAGATACGATGTAAATTCTTTAGTATCAATGCATACAGACAATTACAGACATCAATTTGATTGGGATAATGTCGAAATTCTAGACAGAGGAAACACCAAAAGTGCCGAGAAATTCCTAGAAGCCTGGTACTCAAACGAAAATGCAATTAACAAACACGTTAATATAGACGAAATATACCAACTAATAAAAAGTAAATCAGGTGACCGGAAAATTTAAAATTTAAGTCAATTGAAAACTTCTCTTGTCTTGTGTGTGCTGAAATGCAGCTTCAGAAACAACTATTTCTTCATAACCATGGTTGGTTTCGCTTTACTGAGCATAATGATCATGTGTCTTCTGACTCAATTGGACCAGCACGTTACGGATATATCCTAAGTCATTTTCGACGGGATCATCAATACAGATCTCTTCTGTCGTATTCATTAGCCATCAGATGAAGTTGATTTTCTAGAGGTTATGTACGAAACTAAAGGAATATATATATGGCGTGTGCTACTGACAAGGTTTACTGGTAGTACATAGACGCTGGTCGATAGGAAGTAGCCAAAATCAAAAGTAACATTTTAAGTCAGTGGCTGCAGAGGCAGAGGCGTTTACTCCTCAAACCTGGATTTAGTTTACGCTATTTTGGGGAAATAATATAATTAGACAGCTTTTTATTTCAAGGTTTAACCTCTGGCTAATCGATGACCAATTAGAACAGTTTATTGCCCACTGACCTAGCTGGCTTTTAGTGTGGTTAAAATGTATAAATATGGTGTGTCTTTCCAAAATAAAAAAATTCGTCTGTTGTCTTATTCCGTTACATATATACATATATATGCGTCGGTGGCACAGTAGTTAGGAATCTCGCCGACCATGCACATGGTCCAGGGTTCGATCCCCTGCCGACGCACACCTGATATCTATAGTCGGCCTGCAAAACTTGGGCTACCGATATACATGCTGAAAATTGCGTACTTGTACCACAAATACAGTGTGGAATCAAGCTGTAATCAAAAATAAAAAATAAAAAAAATAAAAGTAAATTATCCCACAAACGTAATGTTTTCGAACACATTTCACTTGAGTGTTCCATCTGCTTTTCTGGTGGGCTACGCATCAGGAAAGCATAATTAGCTATTATTTTCCTCACAAGTGAAGATAGGTGGTGGCTTTACATCACTGAATTTAACAAGCATCTAACTGTCGTCTGCTTTTTGATCAGAAATAATGGACATATCATCAGTGGTACATAGGTGACAAGTGATGCTATCGTAGGACGATGAACTAGCCAGGTTTTAAGCGACACTAGTCAACAGCCATTTGAAGAACAAAACAATTATTTATTCTAATAAAAGCTTGTTTTAGCAAGAACTAAATATATAAAACAGCCGGTAAAATAGGTGGGATAGAGTCAGTTGGGAAAGGCTTTATTTAGGAATGAAGTTCGAGTCACAGAGGAATAAAATCTATTGAAATAACAATTAGTGTGGTAGGGTTACATGTCACTTACTCAACTAGACATAAACTGGTGATCTGGATCAAAACTAAGTCACCAGTGACTGCCACATCAGTGCATGTATGTTCACAGTAGAACATACAGCTTCAGCAGTTAATAGTGATTTCACTCTCTCCTCCGTAATCTTTTATAGCTGGCTTCACATTTGGCAATAAGCTGTCATTTCCTCCCCACAAGAACATCACCATGCAACCATGAGATGTCAAAATCGTTGTTATCCACTTGAGTTCTACTCTAATGCAAGGCATGTGATTTCACATAGTGTATGTCCAGTCAATCTCCATTTCCTTCAACATACTCGTTTGTGATAGATGCTTGGTTGATTCATTACTGGGGTCCTTGATACTGACCATTTCCTTTCGGGCCATCCATCTCCTCGTCACTGCTAAGCAGAGGCAACCATTTGTGAACATGTGATGCCTGTTAGAAATGCTTTTTTCAGGCACCGGCAGAATCTCTGATACCTACAGATGTCGGTGACACAGTGGTTAAGACTCTCTCCTACCATGCACATGGTCCGAGGTTCGATCCCCTGCCGACGCACACCTCATATTTATGGTCGGCCTGCAAAATTTGGGCTACCGATATCCATGCTGAAAATTCCATACTTGTACCAAAAATACAGTGTGGAATCAAGCTGTAAATCAAAAATAAAAAATGTACTGACTTGATATTGTTAAAGGAAAGTCGCATCATGTTCCCTATGTTGAGTGCAGTATAACTTCCACACTGATTCCTTGATTTTCTGATGCCAGTCATCGTTGAGATCCTCATCTTTGCCGCTTATATTTGAAAAGATGTTACCCAGTTAAGTTGAAGAGTTGACTTCTTTCAGAATTTTCTTGTTGATGATAACTAATGATTATTGTTTTTAGTATGCAAATATCTTCGTCACTTCCGTCCTCTATGTTTTCACTTAAAGTCCTATTTTCGCCACGGATTATACTAAAGCGTTCCTTATCTCTTGCAGATCTTCAAGATTTTGCAACATTAGATGAAAATCATCTGAAAAGTCCAGATCTCCCAGTATATTTTCGCTCGTCCAACGTAAGCCTATCGTCTCGCTTCCCATTGTCCGTTGCATGATCGAGTTTACCTCAGTCAGAAATACCATTGGTTGTAGTAATCAGTCTTGTCTTGATTCATGAAAAATCCCCATTCGAACATTAACAGACAGAAGACCAGCAGTTCAACAAAGAGTCTCTTTTCGGCGAATTCATTTTCATAGCTGTACAAACGCAAATATATATGGTTATTTTGTGTGTGTGTGTATACATTAAATTTGTCAAACGAAAATACAATTAGTAAGTTCAGATGAATTGGATGTTCATATAAGAGGATAGTAACAAAAGTGATGAATTGTCACAACCGATTGTTAAAGAAGAGTTACGTAATGACATGACTGGTTTGGTGAGACAGTTGTACTCAGGTTGTACATGGAAACAAAATAACATACGGATTTACGTGAGAGTTTTAAGTAGTTAGAAAAATAAGCATACCAGCAAAATTTAAGTCAGACCAGCAGAATTGTTACCATTATAGTAGAAGTGGCTGAATAATTTCCTATTGCATGCATAGTTCTGGTTCTTCTAACTGAATGTTTAAGGCTTCTGCAGTGCAAAGATTACGGAAACATACTGTCTTTGGTAGGTTGTTCTTCACTTTGTAGATTACTTTGAAGGAGGCGTTTGTTGAGATGGAATGACCAGTGGTGACGAGATGTTCAATTACTGAGCTGCTTATACGGCAACTACTTCCTTTCTGCAGCCACGTTGGATAGTGTTCTTTAACACTTTTTAACAGGATGCGCGTCGAACGACCGATGTACCTGGCTCCACAGCAACAGGTGAACTGATATATTCACATGGAAGTGGTCAGGTGTGAGATCTTGTCCTTTGGGCTTCTGCAGAACAGCGGGCGACTGGTTAACACTACTCTCATTGGTGCCGCAAAGAAAGTTATTTCTAAAGGAGTGGAAATTCTCCTCCTAGAGACATCACTGAGCAGGTCACCTTTGAAGTCGAGTTTCATATAAAGTATCTTTTTTGGCACGGATGGAGTCTTTTGCTTTTGGATTTTCTGTTTGTTATGTTTGCCTACGAACCTTGGTGAATATCTGTTTTGTATGAATATTTTTTTCAGGAAGTGCAGTTCTTCTTCCAGGGTATCAGGATATCAGTTCTGTCTTACTTCTGTCTTCAAATCAGGCTTCTCTAAGTTTTTCAATGTAAATTATCTGACTTGTGACATCACCATGAAGCTGCTGAACGAGATTGATTAGGGTTTGTGGTGTTCTGTAGTACTGAGGCAATTCAAAAATTACTTCAAGCTCAAGGCTTTTGAAGGCCTTTCCAGAATCAATGAAGTTGAGGTGGAGATTCGACCTCCATTCTAAGTTCGATTTAGTGATGTTATCTAGCGCCATTATTTGATTCAGACATAATTTACTTTTCTTGAATCTAAACTGATTCCTGGGGAGATTTTGGAATCCAGAGCAGCCAAGATGTCGGTTAATAATAATGTCTTTTTCCCAAACACTACTCTATGGAATAGTTCGTGGAATTCTGACTACCCAGTTTCATCATCGGTGCGTCGGTGGCATGGCTGTTAGGACGCTCGCCGACCATGCACATGGTCTGGAGTCCGATCCCCGGCTGACGCACTCCCTTACCTCGCTGAGCCAGAGATAATGCTGGTAAAGAGGAAACGTTGGGCATAAGGCTAGCAACCCCATCCTGTAAAATAAACACTGCTACAGAAACTTCAAGCCACTGGCTTGAAGCCCTATGTTTCACTGGGGAACGTGAAAGAAAAATTATTATTATTTAGTTTCGTCATCGAGTTTCGTTGATATAAATATAAAACTTGGGCACTGTGGTAGAGCATAATGCAGTCATCGAGTTTCCTAGTGATAAACTCTAGTTGTGATTCATTATCGGCTTCTCTGAAAGCTTAATTTTTATGTTGAAGATTTCTTGAAATAGACAGTGGACTCAGTCTACATCTGCTAAACCTATCAAGTAGACTGTCTCCACTTTTTTCAAGTGGAAATAAAGTCTATGTAGTTTCCTGTATGTCCATCTGGTGAAACCAGTGTAGCCTTTTGGATATCTCTGTGCTTGTAAATGCTATCTCCAATCGCCAGATCAGTGAAGGCATAGTATTCTGCAAAGAATTCTCCATCCATTGGCCTATTTTGTCTCACTTGAATTTGAATGGAATTCTCATCGATGTCACCATGAAGCTGAGGTCTTATTCATTACTAATTGCAGTTATCTGTAGAAGTTCTACTTCTCCATTGTGTTTGCGTAGTTTGTGGGAACGTAGCATAATAAGAGTGTGACCTCACTGTTATACAGGCAATACTTAGATGAGTGTTTCTTTGCGCACTCGTGAATATATACTAGTTTGGCTTAAAAGAATGTTAGTCAATTCAATGTTTATCATGCCACATATGTCGTGTATTATCACAGAAAAACCGATTTCAGTTTCATTATTGTCTCTTATTAGGTATTCGCAATTGTTGTTTCTCAACTGGGGATTGCATTCGGTCTGACAAGTTTAATCACACAAGTGTATGTTGCAAATCGCGTTAAATCTCCTTGAAAAATTATTCTTCAGGGTAGATATTTCATTTTGGGTCAAAACTAACCCTATATATCTGTATGTGATCAGGTAAGTGGAATTTTGATGATAAGCAATATTTGGAATCACACTGAACTATTTACACTTCGGTTATCCATCGATCGGTGGCACAGTGGTTAGGACTCTCTCCTACCATGCACATGGTCCGGGTTCGAGTCCACGCCGACGCACACCTGATATCTATGGTCAGCCTGCGAATTTTGGGCTACCGATATCCACGCTGAAAATTCCACAATTGTACCACAAATACGGTGTGGAGTCAAGCTGTAATCAAAAATAAAAAAATAAAACAAATCACTTGTGTGTAAAACTTGAGCACTATAATATAATTTCCTGAAGATTTAAATTTGGGGAATGTGGCTCTCACTGTTTTATAGTGAAAACCGTAACGGGTTCATTTCAAAGCAGGAAATAATGGTATAACGCATTACATCAGTTAGACAAAGGATAGCATAACTGTTAAGCAGGATATTCAAATAGTGAATTGGACAATCAGGAGTGAGAAATAAAGTAATGGAATGAAATAATTATGCTATTGCAATATCCTGAAAAACTCCCACGAACTATAAACAGATGGGGATTTAACTTAAATCATTCAAAACACCACGAATCAAGTGTATTTTTAGACAAGAAGCTTATGTCTGATTTTGAATTCGGTAAGAATTAGAGTTAGATATAACCAGAAGAAATCATTTGAAGGCAAGCTTCAATGGTTCCAGGATGATACATATGAAGTAAAATAATCGAATCTACCAGCTACCTGTGAATAGAAGTAAAAATAAGTGCACTGGTTGAACCTCAGTCATTCATGTTGTCAAAGGACATTGAATTACCACAGTGTAGGGCGACAGACATAAAAAATGAGTAGACCCGATAAATTTTCGTTATTACTGTTATCCGGTGGCTCAGAATCACGCACAACAATGACAGATAAGACGAAAGGTTCAATCCTGTTTATGGGTGGTGGGAGCCCGTTACTAAATCCAACAGTGGAGACGCTCGATCATTTTCTCAAATGTAAGAATGACTGTGAGAAGTAACTATTCTTCGAACTGCAACACAGACATCATAGTACACCAACCTAACATTATCATAACAGTTCAGCTAACGTATATTCAATAGTTTCTTGAAACCATCTCTCAGTTCACTCAGCTACTTAACATCACCTTTCCGTGTGTCTCCTTTCATATATGAATAGCGCGATCTACTTTGTCCTCGAGATAGTGTGGGCGTTTGTGAAACCAGTTTCAGCAGTATTCCCTTGGAATCTTGTGTATTTGATGGTAATGGTAAGCAGAAACATTGACATCTGATTGAAATTTTCACCTGTTAACTGATGTATCTTCGGATTACGTGTTTTATTTTTGACGCTAATTTTGTAGTCTAATCTGTCAGCTGCATCGCATTGCATCGTGAACAGTATATACACAATTTATCCCAATAACCTCAGTTGGAAAGTGCAACGATTGAAGATAATTTCATATTAGTTTGTTTATTAGATATATCACACAGTGAAACAGTATTATTCACTGGATGATGTTTCGAACAAAATTTATTGTTCATAATCATATCGATTGTGAAGATATTTTATTAGTGAAGATAATTTCACGAAATAAATTCTGGAGAAATTAGAAAGTGAAAACTACTGGGAACTTGCAACAGATGACGTCATTAGTCAAATATAGTCTACTTATTGTGTCTTCATAATATGGGTTTACTCCTCTTCATAAAGACACTTTCGTGTTTGAGTGAATACAGAATTGTCTGCACTCGTAAGATTTCTAAAAGCAGCTCATCGCCTTGATCACGGCTGTACAGATAGAAATTGTCATTAGTTTCTTGTGATTGAAGGAGGTCAAAACTCATCATCTTCAGAAGTGTTGTGTAGTTGATAAGGTTCTTCATCCTTGAAGAAGAGTTCGCACTCACTTTCATTTAGCAATGGCTTTCAGTATACCGCTGGGTATTTGTTAGCGAGGCCAGTCCATAGAGAGAATGGGCATATTTCAGGAAAGTTTCATCAGTCCGTGAAATGATGCACTTTAGATCAATACTTTACTTGAGGATTGTGTACACGGCGTGGATAAAGCATGTTGGAATTATTTTTCAAAATAAAGTTTTTTATGCATGTGCACATAGGTAGTTGAAGATAATGAGGAAATTATCAAGGACATAATACCCGTAACTTCTTGTATTTGAATTTTCAGTGTTCAGAACATCTTGAGGGCATTAACCGTATTAAAACAGACTTTCTACTCCCTTCTCTGCCATTTCAGACACTCCTGTCCTCTTACATAATTGCAGCTGAATCCGAAGAATACACTGACGATGTCCCATTCATTGCATTCGCATTCATGTGGACGATGTTGCAAGTCATTGTGTCATTCGCAATGTTCATCATGAATGACTTCACTGAAACTGCACTAACCAGGATAGTGAATGTGGTGTATGCTGTAACTATATTGGTGGGTCAAATCGCTTTCTTTTTGAGAAATCAAACTAAAGTGAGTGGAGATATATACGTTGCTTTTTTCTCGCCTTCCTTATCTTCATTAAAGGAATCAACTACATCACAAATTTTGATATGGATATTTTTGTTTCCCCATGGGAACTGTGGTGGATTGTTATCTCGAATATCGTAATTCGCGATTGATAAATTCGATTTAGAAGTGAATGAACCTCTTCAATATATTCCATTATTTCATAATCAACTGCAGTATTTGCTGAGAAACTGACTCAGTCATAAGATTTTGGTACTGCATCATAGTGTGATATAAATATGTGCCTTCAGTTTGGATATCGATAAAATTTCTTGTAACTTGTTCAGGTCATAATCGGACAAATGAACAACTGGACGTATTCTTCTCCAGACTGTGATTCTAGGAGAGGCAACATACTTCCCTAGAAATGTGCATATATTAACTCACATGAATCAGAATCTGTGGGATGATGCCACTGTTCTGAGAATTGGATTTCGGCAGTGAGGTATAGTATAATTCCACCAGAGAATAAATTTATTTCACACAGTATTGTCTACTGATGATATTTGAGCAAAATTTATTGCTTATAATAATATCGCAGCCTTTAAGTGGCTTAAGCACCTTGATTTGTTCACCGGTTTCTAATAATTGACAGCAGTAAACAAATAAACAGAATATCTTCCATCCTTCTAACAGAAAATTCAAACATTATGCCGCCAACAGTTTCCAGTTTAATTACCGCATCAAAATTCTTCATTTCTTTTGTTACAAGCATTTAAATATGTCCTGAAAAGTTACTTTTTTTCTGTTAAGCATATTACAAACAATTTTACAGTCCACCAGTTTGTAAGTGCTTGATAAACGTTAAGGTGCAAAATGAACACAAATTCTGAATAACTGATGGTGTCTTGAGGACTGAACTGTAGGTGATAATTTAACTTCTTACTCAGATTACAGATATTTTATTCAGATAGGAATTATCAGTTTACAAAACTGATGAATTTTCTTGCGATTTGTGTTTTCTATCTGCATTAGATTCCTTTACTTATCGCTGGGACTATTGGATTTCCATGCACATGTTATGTAAGTCGAATTCGAATACTGTTTAAAATTTTGTTTTATTAATCTCTGGCTACACCAGTGACACAGCGGTAGAATGCTCGCTGACCACGCATGTGGTTCAGGGTTCGATTCCCGGCTGATGCACTCCTTTAACTCACTAAGCCGGTAATAAAACTGGCAAAGATGTCAGTCTGATTATTTCTCCACAAAACATCGCCATCAATCTATCTATCAGCAGAAATTGAACAGTGTTCAGAATAATGCAAATGCATTGTGATTTTTCATTCTCTTCTTCGTCATTGTGTACAGCTGCTTGTAAAAGAGGTGAAGTGGGTGTTCGGACAAGGCAAATATTTCTATCCAGAAAACAATGTTGTCCGTCCAGCCAGAAATATTTATGGTTACTGTTGGAGTTTATTTCTAACGATTCTATGGGTCTACGCATACAGTGGAATGAGAGTTACTTTTAGCAATTTGATGATTTCATGAATTCAATGAAACTACTGACCATAATTGCTATATTTTAAACAGAACTAGAACAAATCAGTAAGAGTTAAATACCATCGTGTACATTGTAAAATTAATACAACGTTTCCACAGTGTTTGGTTTTTTACGATTACCGCTTGTGAAAGAACCATGAAAAGGACTCTGAAACCACCAGTAATCTTCAGCTATAAGGGCTTCAATTTCATACGGTTTGAAGTCGTCAGAAATACTTCACAGCCGACACAAACAAATACACGCATCAGTCACCACATCTAGTCATTGTGTCAATGAATGTAGAAAACACTCTATTTGTCGAACTAGTCTGAAATATTTTAGTCACTTAGGGGATTTCCTCGACGCTAATAATCGCTAAAGAGATGTAGATGTCCTTTCAGTAATCATCCATCTATATTTGAATATCATATTTACACGAAATGTTTTCGACGTGTGAACTGTTAGGATGTAGAAGATATTTCTGTTAATTCTCATTTGAGTTAGTTATGGCTGATCTCCAAATCTCAGATGTGACCAACTGGAATAGGTACATCTTATGGAATGATTCTTAGAGGAATAAACAAATCAATGAATTTGCATATCAGGTCGGATAGTAAACAGTTGAAGTAGTCATCAGGCATGTCATATCACCATCCATAACCTTCAGAATAAACTGACTTACTTACTTCTGAGACGGTTTATCCACCACAAGTCAATATCCTTGACTTCACAGTTGTTGTGGTTTTGAAAATCGTCATGGATGTCATGTTTGATGAAACAGTCCCCCTGATCAATGAGATAATCGCCTCGGAAGTAGAGAAGGTGGCTAGAGAGCATTGTAGTTTACATGGTTCAGTGAAGCTCCAGGTATTATTACATGCTAGCAATAACATCGAATTCAGCGATAGTAATTACAAAAATGCTATTTGTAACATAAGTACGGGTAGTTGACGGAGGTGAAGATAAGATTACTCAAGATAACCTTTAACGTAACTAAACTAGGTCACAATCTCGAAAAATTGGAAATAGCGCAATACTGAAGTCAGAGTGAAAGAGAGTATGATAAATGTATGAAAAAGGTGGGAATGTTTGATTAGTTTACTGAACTCGACTAAACTAAAGGAGAGGCGAAGTAGAACAGATTTCTCTTGAATGCAAACACTGAGGTTATTTCCTTGAATTTCGAAAGAACAAGGTCAATTTTCGTGGGACAGAATGGATGGGATTCGAGAAAAGAACCTTCAAAGTGCCCATTATATCCACTTAGTTACCACTATCAGTCGAATGAGACAAAATCCAGCTTCTTGTTGATTTTGTTTAGTGTTGTTCAAAACAAGAGGGAAGGTATTCAGAAATCAGTCTGTTCGTCCGTCTTATTGTTCTCCCTACATAGCTTTCTGCACAGAAGTGCAGTTGCTTAGCTTGTCTTTCACTTTGTAGTGGACTAAACGCCTAAGTTAGATAATACCTGAAATGAAAGGGACAAAACAAATACAAACATGTATGCATGCAGAAAGGAATTCAGTCAACACAAATTAATTTACTCATAAATGCAGTCATTTGAAAAGTTATAATGTTCCCAAAATACTCAAATATAGACGTACAGAATTGTAGGAATGAAGTAGTCCTCTTCTTGGACAGACAGATAGATGCTCACCACACATAAGAGATGCCAACGGCCTGACGGTACTTTCGGAGAGAAAAGTAGATTGGAGCAAAAGTCCGAATGTGGGTGTGCGGATCCCGTATGAGCCAGAGTTGATTGGCGAATGTGGAAAGCGAGAGGCTGGAGAAGGAAGAAGTGTCGTCTGTACTGCGCGAGGAACCAGGTAGTGTCCTTATTCAGTATCACGTAACAACCATGATTTTCCGTGAATTCATTATTTTTACTATTTTACAATGAACGTATAATCTGATATTTCTTGGCCACCACAACTTAAGCAATCAAAATTGGTCGACGGGAAAGTGGTCAACAAAGAACGCCAACAAAAGTTCTTTTTGTAGCTGTAAATATACTTTGATACAGAACTTCACTGACCACGTATCCGCAGAAGAAATGTCTCTTTTTACCTGTAGTTGGTTTTTATAGTAAAGGAAAGTCTTTCAGTAAGTACCAACTCGAAAATAAGCCGAAAACAGACGTAAGTAACTTTCGTGGCCATATCCGGTGAAATTCAGAAAACATGCATTCGCTGCTTCATAGATTAGGAAGTTTAATATTGAAGGATAAGCTAAGCGTAAAACTTGCTTCAGAACATGAAACACTGGCAACATTCACCTTCTTAAAACTAGATATGTATTATATATATTATACATCAATATGAATTCTATTTTGCAGCTATTCATTAGAAAAATATGTTTATCAAATTTCCTGCATACATTTCACTTTTTATCACTTGTCTCATGGATATGTGTGATATGCAAACACCTATTTTTAGAAAGGTGACACAGGCTCAGTTGTACCAGGACGATGTTATACAGCGAGACTTCTCTCCATAAGGCATAACGGATCTCGCCTGCTTTGCTGGGCACAGAATAGGACAGAAGGTTGGGCATAATGCTAGCGATCAAACTTTATAGAAAACAGCTCTGTATTTTCTGGAATTTCAAAGCATAGAAAAAACCAACTAACTCTCCACTGGAATCAGAGAAGATGGATGACTCAGGCTTGGAGAATAATTAAGGAATCCAGTTGTCGGGTCTGAGAAGTAAGCATAGGTACACGAAATGTCCGTCACGTATTAGAGGTTGGCTGACAAGGCTGTTCAGATTTCAAATAAAATGAGAAGACATAGCATTGAAGTGCTGCAAATCTATGAGTGCATACGGAATTTAAATGAACCCTCTAAATTACTACCCTGATAGTGAATAATCTACCCCGGTCAGTGGAATACGGACACACTGAGTGAGCGGCCGTCATAATGTCACCAAAAGAAGCCAAAGCTCTTATGCAGTAGGAACCAATGTCCTCTAAGATAATGACAACAAGATTCAAATGGAAAGGAAGGTAGGCTAAAATTTTCTATGTTACGCGTCTACAAACAACTGAGAACCATTGGAAAAGAAGGATGCTTTCTATGGACAACTGAGAATAATAATGGATAACATCCAGAATGGCGACGTAGAAATCATAATAGGTAATATGGTGAATGATAAACTGGGAGCACGAAATACAGGAAGAGATCTCATCATAAGTCAGGAGGCTGTCTGCGGAATGAGTGAAAATAGCGCACCTTTTGCAGACTTTTCCGCTTTCAGTGATTTGGGAATTGGAGGAATTATGTATAGGTACAAGCATTTACACAAGACATCATGGGTTCCACCTGACGGACACATAAAATAAGGTAGACACTCAATATGGAAAAAATGGAGTCAAGGTCTTTGAACAAAAGAGGATGGAAAAGAGGGACAGATGTTGGCTCAAACTGGGTGTAAGGAATTTTCAAGGTCAAGTAGAAGGGTTTCAAAGAATGTAGAGATAGGACATGGTTCAAGTTCAACATCCAGAAACTAAAGGACAGAAATACGAAGGACATCACTTCAGTCGTCGTGAAAAAACGTGGAGTCCCCTGCAAACGCTGGAACTCTCAAATTATTCATATCCACTTTCGAAAGGAAGAGGAGGGAGAAGAATGAACGACTTTATACGTAGATGTGGAAACTACTGAAGGAGACAGGAATGGCAAAACATAAGATGAACCACTGAAAAGATGAATCACGAAAAGATGGAAGCTGAATTCAATCTAAAGCATCCTAAACAAAGGAGGGAAAATGCAAAACTAATACTGCAGGAGATTTTGAAGGAGAGGAGGGTACTTGCTGACTGAAAGAACAGCTACATTCTCAAACTCCAAAAGAATGGTGATTTAAGCACCGCAAGACATAGTGAAGAATCATGCTTCTATCAGCCACGAGCAGAATATTAAGTCGCGTCATACTGGGAGACTAAAAGATGTCCTGATTGTGAAAGTTCGCCCGGCACCAGCTGGATTCAAAAAGCGAAAATCATATGCGGATCAAATTGAAAGCGATACGCACCATCACCAAACAGAGCATAGAATGACAGTCAATTCTCTATCTTAACTTTGTAAGATTTGAAAAGGCCTTCCACAGTATGATCATAAATTGCGTTCAAAACTCCTTCAGTACCACAGAGTACAATATCGCGCAACGTTATACAGCTCAGTCAACAGTCTTATGATCATGCAACATATACGGTGACTGACAATGGAAAGTTCAGTTAGGCGTTTGAAGTGACAGTGAAGACGGGAGTTAAAGTTGCCTACTATCATTGAGGACATGATAGGAATTCAGCAGATCCCGACCACAAAATGCGATCACAACTGGTTTTTCCCAGGAATGGTTCCCTCTTAATTACTCCTTCTTAGATCAGTGCCTATAACTTTCAAACAAACAAAACATCTGTTACACCAAGATTATCCATGGGTCTGGTGTAAGGGATTCAATGAAGCCATTGAGTAACTGAACAGCATTTTGGGATCCGAATCATTTCTCCCGTAGTATGATCTTAAGCCGCCCAATGTATTGTCGGCACACGCTTCAGTGAATAGAGTCAATGCTATAACAATGTATGAAATTTATGATAGGATAAATTCAATATGAAGATAACTGCTAACATTAATAAGGAAAAACTTTGAAAAAATATGGACGCACAGGAGGTTCTGGCAATCCAGATATTCCCTCTCGTCGAGTAAGCAACTACACCTCATGAAACAAAGAAATGGCCTTAAAGACAGAAAGCTACACGCAGAATTTAGCATCTTGAGCTGTCAAGCGGCAGTCAATTACCTCTTTATGCTGCCACCAAACTTTATTTCTTCTTTTGCATCCGACTGAATACTGTTATCACTTCTTTATGCATTTATAAGTTTACTTTCTTCTTTAGAAAGAGTCATTAAAACACATCAATACTTCCTTATTGCTCATTGTATTCATATGTTTCTTGACTATTCCTAAAATGTGATTACCCCTATACCAGATTTCCTGTTTTACATGTATATCATTAGCCCTTATTATACGCTACAGAGACGTTTATGTTACCAAACTGTGCTTACTTTCCAAATCATCGCATGTGTCAAGACGTTCCACTTTGTTA